AAGCTGGAGCTGGAGGTCAGTGGCCCAGGTGAGCAGGAGAAATCCCTGTCTAAGCAGAGCAGGTGTTCCTCTCACCCCAAAACGCTTGAAGAGAGAGGGGAGGAGAGTCCTTTCATCTTTTAACATTAAAAACATATCAGAAGCGCAGGCAGCAATATTAAAGGTAGCACAAATAAAAAGGCCTCTGTTGGCTTCAGGCCATTCTCTCCTGGAGTAAGAAGAGATTCAAGATCACCTTTTGCCTCACCAGGCTGGAGATGCAGCAGTCAATCAGACTGCCAGAGGAAGCAGTGGAGCCATTGAAGTGGAGTGTGCTTTCCCCGAGCAGCCCTTTGGGGAGCTGAAAACAATGTGGTTAACCCAGCAGGTAATGACTGGAGAGTGAAAGCCACGAGCAGGAAGGACCTGATGCCACTCACCAGCTTCCTAAACAAATGATCACAGCCAGTCCCGAGCTGGAGATCCCTGGCACTGCAGTGAGCACCGATTTGAAGTGTGCCCTTGAGAAATCTCCACGTCTGCCTGCTCCAGAAGTGTTCCTGAGGCTCCAGCTCAGCCCCTTATCCTGCAGCCCAGCCAAGATCCCTGTTGCTGGTGAGGGACTCTGGACATTGTGGCTGGACATTTGTGCAGGATTGGAGCCTCTTCCTTCCTCTATAGGTGCATGTGGATGGATGAGAACTCTGAAATTAAAGGTAGAGAGGTTATTCAAAGAGGAATTAATCCTGCTTTAGGGGTGGAGTTCAGTGTTTGTGTTATTGATGCCTGTAACTGATTAAACACTGAGCCTCATCGACAGGTTCTGCTGATCCTGTGGACTGGGGATGCTCCACTTCTCCCTTTCCAAAGGGAAAGGACACTTTAAGAGGCAGAGAGGGAACAGAAGGTGGTGCCCCAGGGAGAGATTCAAATGAACATCCTGATTTGAAGGGGAGAGCAAATGTAAATCTGAGAGAGATCCTGGGAGAGATGAGGTGTAAAGGCTACGTGCTCCCTCAGCTGCCCATTTTCCTCTTTGAGGGCAGATTTTGGGGTGGGCATGTTTGCATAAGAGCTGGTCTTGTCCTCTTGAGGCAGGGAAGCATTCAAAGAGCACAGCAGAGGGATGATGCACAGTGAGGAGGCTTCCAAAGTCTGGCCAGGTGTAAGCAGGGATTTCCTTTTATTTCCTCACATCTGACCCTAACTCTGTGGTACCTTGCTGTGCCCACCCTGGCAGCATTTGTGTGGTTTCTGCTCTAAGAGAGAGGTGCTGTTCAGGGAGGTTTGGAAATGCCTCAGCCAGCCAAGCCCCTCTCTCTGAGTGCCTTCAAACGGAGCTCCTGTTCTCTGGGGGGCACAGGGATGTAAGAGCCCACTCCAGGCTGACCCAAACTCAGGATTTACCTGCAAAAAATGGGTTTTTCCACAGGTTAGCAAAGCCAGGGACTCGCTGGTATTTGAGAGCTTCAGGAGGTTTTCCATGGTCCAAGATATTTGTAGTGGTTTTGGGTTTTATCCCAGCATGTCTCCTGTAAACTTCTGAAAGCTGTAAAGCTCCTTTAAGCTTCTGAAAATTCACCTTCAGATTTCATTTGGTTCTTTACCTCTGCTGCCTCTTTCCCCTCAGGTTCCAACAAAAGGAGCCCTTCTGCACCTGCAGCAGTGTCCCCTGCGTTTCCCCCTCTCCTGCACAGGATCTCACCTACCAAAAGCTCTAATTCCCACTAAAAATGGACCCATTTTGCCCTCCCTGGATGTATTGCTGCATTTTAATCCTATTTCTCAGAGCAGTTTTCATCTTCTCTGCAGCATGCCCTGGTGATTTTCCACATGGCCTCCACTGCTGACCCCCCCAGAGCATCCAAAGGAGAGTTATTTCCCAGCACCCCTGATGGATAAAGCAGCCAGCAGAATGGATTCAGGGCATTAGGCATGGTCTGTGCTCACCTTCAGGAGCTGCCTGCCTGAAAACATTGCACAAAGAGTTTTTCTGTTAAAAAAAAAAAAGAAAAAAGAAAAAAGAAAGACATTTAAGTGCTGGTTTTAAGAGGGCTTTTCCATCATAAATTGATTTCTGGTTCTGATGTTAAAGTAAGAAATCCAAAAACCAGTTTGGGGAAGTCAGAGGTTAAGGAAGTCCAGCAAGATGGATGGAGACTGTGCTGGAGTTTAATAGCACAGGTTTTGTGTGCAGTGTTCCCCCAAGGGAGCAGTGTCTGCCAGAGAAGGGGGTTTCTTCTAGACCCATCTCTGACTCCTGATTTCATCTCCTTCTTTGTGGCATGGTGAAAACTGCCTCAAATTTCTGCATCACAGGATTCTTCTTTTCTGTCTGTAGAAGAGTGATGTAAAACTCCTCTCCCTGTAACTACAAACCTGATGATGGATTTATTTCTGTGTTTCCCACCTCAGCTGAAGAATTTTGTTTTCTTTCCAGATTCCTGGTTGTAGACTTGAAGATGAATTGCCCAGATCCCTTGGGAACATCTACCACATAGAAATACAGCATGATACAGAATAATTTGCATTATCTCGTCCTTCCTTCCTTCCTTCCTTCCTTCCTTCCGCCCCTTCCTTCCTTCCTTCCTTCCTTCCTTCCTTCCGCCCCTTCCTTCCTTCCTTCCTTCCTTCCTTCCTTCCGCCCCTTCCTTCCTTCCTTCCTTCCTTCCTTCCTTCCGCCCCTTCCTTCCTTCCTTCCTTCCTTCCTTCCTTCCGCCCCTTCCTTCCTTCCTTCCTTCCTTCCTTCCTTCCGCCCCTTCCTTCCTTCCTTCCTTCCTTCCTTCCTTCCGCCCCTTCCTTCCTTCCTTCCTTCCTTCCTTCCTTCCGCCCCTTCCTTCCTTCCTTCCTTCCTTCCTTCCTTCCGCCCCTTCCTTCCTTCCTTCCTTCCTTCCTTCCTTCCGCCCCTTCCTTCCTTCCTTCCTTCCTTCCTTCCTTCCGCCCCTTCCTTCCTTCCTTCCTTCCTTCCTTCCTTCCGCCCCTTCCTTCCTTCCTTCCTTCCTTCCTTCCTTCCGCCCCTTCCTTCCTTCCTTCCTTCCTTCCTTCCTTCCGCCCCTTCCTTCCTTCCTTCCTTCCTTCCTTCCTTCCGCCCCTTCCTTCCTTCCTTCCTTCCTTCCTTCCTTCCGCCCCTTCCTTCCTTCCTTCCTTCCTTCCTTCCTTCCGCCCCTTCCTTCCTTCCTTCCTTCCTTCCTTCCTTCCGCCCCTTCCTTCCTTCCTTCCTTCCTTCCTTCCTTCCGCCCCTTCCTTCCTTCCTTCCTTCCTTCCTTCCTTCCGCCCCTTCCTTCCTTCCTTCCTTCCTTCCTTCCTTCCGCCCCTTCCTTCCTTCCTTCCTTCCTTCCTTCCTTCCGCCCCTTCCTTCCTTCCTTCCTTCCTTCCTTCCTTCCGCCCCTTCCTTCCTTCCTTCCTTCCTTCCTTCCTTCCGCCCCTTCCTTCCTTCCTTCCTTCCTTCCTTCCTTCCGCCCCTTCCTTCCTTCCTTCCTTCCTTCCTTCCTTCCGCCCCTTCCTTCCTTCCTTCCTTCCTTCCTTCCTTCCGCCCCTTCCTTCCTTCCTTCCTTCCTTCCTTCCTTCCGCCCCTTCCTTCCGTCACTTCCTTCCTTCCGCCACTTCCTTCTGCCACTTCCTTCCTTCCTTCCACCACCTCCTTCCCTCCTTCCCTCCTCTCCCTTTCTGTGGATTTAGCTTTGGCTTTGATGGTGTTGTGTAGTTACCTAAAGCTGTAATTAAATTATTACCATCAAAGGCAATGTCTGATATTTCCAAACACAAAGAGTCCACAAGCCAAAAACAAACCCCAGAACAAGTCCTTCTCCAGCAGCACTTCTAGGGGCCTTTATTGCCTTTGGTGGGCCAATTTTTTTTAGCTTGTATTTTGTACCTGGTTCAAGAGCTGGAGTAAGTTGAGCAGCAGCAATCCCTGGGCAGCCTGGGGAGGATCAGCCTCTGGAATGTGTCTGCCCAGGGATCTGCAGGCTGGGCTGTGGCTTTGTGAGAGGAACTCGGGATTTGGGCGTGGTTGCACATCCTTCCCACATTTGGAAATGTCGTTTGGGATCGAACCATTGCCCCCAGCCCCCCTGGGTCACCTGGCCACGATTACCTGTGTGGAACACGATGACAATGCTTTGCTTCTCCCTCTACTAGAGGATTATCTCCTAACTGTGCCTTTGCTCCTGCATCCAGGGCAGGAGTGGAGTGGCTCAGCCACTTCTTTGCTCTGTTAGCCTTGTGCATTTTGGAGCTGGTAGAGGGAAGCTTTGATGTTGGTGGGAATACTTGACTTTCCTGTACCTGTCTGATATCATGATTAGGCTTTTGTAGTTGATCAAAATGAGAAATCTGCATTAAAGGGCTACATCAAGTACCTGTTGGCTTGATTTAAAGGAAAATAATAACCAGCTGCTTTCCCAGGGCTGCAGCACTTAGAAAATGAGCCCCACTCAAGCCTCAAGTTCAGCTTTTGTTGTAAGAACAACAGTAATGACCCATTTTAAACAGTATTTTAGCAGATGGAAGTTCAGGCTTTCTGTACTGGATTTCAACAGAGCTGCAATCTTGCAGTTAAGAAATTGTTAGCCCTGAAATTAAGCACCTTTAATTGAATCCCTGCCACTTGCTTAATTATAGCAGCACTTGAGACAGGCTGTGAGGAGCAGTGAAATCAGCCCTGCCACACCTCTCCCAGACTGCCATTGGCCACAGACTTGTCGGGCTTGATGGGCTGCACTCAGAGAGGATTTCAAAGCAAATAAATAGCAGGGTTTTGGAGCAGCCAGGAATGGATTTCCACCTGTTTGAACTCCGGGCTGGAGCGAGCCTCGGCCCAGAAACCTAACCTGTCTCCTCAGGAAGCTGCTAGAGCAGAAGTTCCCCATCCCAGTGTCCAGTACCTGTGCGAGTAAGTGGCTTTGGCACCGAGTGGCTTTGGCACCGAGTGACTTTGTAAGTGGATTTGGCACTGAGTGACTTTGTAAGTGGCTTTGGCGGCCCCAGGCAGGAGCTGGAGCAGCTCTGGGAGCAGCAGCATGGATTGCTGCGTGCTCCAGATCACCGGGCTCATTTTCGGTGGTGTGGGCATGGTGGGCACCTTGGCAGCCACGGCCATGCCCCAGTGGAGGGTCTCGGCCTACGTGGACGGCAACATCGTGGTGTTTGAGACCATCTGGGAGGGGCTGTGGATGGACTGCATCAGCCAGCTGGGCCTCAGGCTGCAGTGCAAGTTCTACGACTCGGTGCTGGCGCTGCCGCCGCCGCTCGAGGCCTTGCGGGCCCTGATGTGCCTGGCCGTGGGGCTGGCCGTGCTCTCCTTCCTCACGGCCGTGGCGGGGGTCAAGTACTCCCAGGGCGGCCGGGAGGGGCCCCGGGCCGTCAGCAGCCTCATCCTGGCGGCCGGGGTCGCCTTTCTGCTGACGGGCACCCTGGCGCTGATCCCGGTGTCCTGGACCGGCGGCAGCATCGTCCGGGATTTCTACGACGGCCGGGTGCCGGCGCCGCTGAAGCGGGAGCTGGGGGCAGCCCTGTACGTGGGCTGGGGCAGCGGTGCCCTGCTGCTGGCCGCAGGAGCCATGTACTGCCACGTGTGGTGCCGGGCTGGGCCGCCCGCCGGCCACCGATACCCCCGGCTGGCCCGGGCGGGAGGGCCGGCCCCGGGTGCCCGTGCCTATGTCTAGCTGCCACGGAGTGCTCTGGGCTGCCCGGGACATTCAGGATCATCCCACACCATCCCCTGCCATGGCAGGGACACCTTCCATCATCCCAGGGAACTCCAAGCCCCGTCTGACCCGGTTTTGGACACTTCCAGGGATCCAGGGCCATCCTGTGACCTTCCTACTTGACACGTGCTGATTGACTTCTTCATTTACCTCCAGGCGTGCACTGGAGGAGCAATTGAGTTGCTTGGCTGTTTACTGTGGATATCTGCTCCACAGATATCCTGGCAGCCTGGCAGGAACTGCTCTTACAGGTGTTTGGTTAGAGCCAGAATGGTTAAGTCACCATTTCTTCGGGAATGAGGAACGGCGAGGGGACAGCAGCAGTCAGGAGGCTCTCAGGGAGGATGAACAGGCTGGGCTGGGCTGGGGGGAAGGAGCTGCTGTGCAATATCCCAGTGCCCTTCCCAGAGCCCTGAGGTGCAAAGGGAGCAGGGAATTTCCCTGTGGAGCGGGCTCTGCAAGGAGCGCTCCGGGGGAAGCGTGGAGCTGGCAGCACAGCTCGCTGGCCGGAGAAGCTTCCAGTGCTGGCACTGAGATGTTTGTGCTGAGAGGCCTCCGAGACTGTCCATGGACCTCTCTGATGCTTGTGGAGCTGGTGGATGCTCCTCATCTCCTCAGCAGGGCACGGAATAGGGCTCGTGGGGCAGATTTTTAATCACTTCCCTGGAATGTGCCGTGAGAGTGTTGTCTTCCCTGCTGTTTCCACCCCTCATCTTCTGTGGCTCCTCTGTAAAACCTGGGGCACACCATCAGTCCCTGTGCTGCTGTAAAGCAGAATTAAGCAGGGAAGGCACAGACAACCCCCACCTGCCCCTCGGAGCTGCTGCCCACAGCTCCCAGCACACCCAAAAAGCCCAGCCCTGATGTTGCTCTGGCTGTTTTGTGCTTGCCAGGCTGCTCTGGGAATGCAGCCCGATCCTGTCTGTCCGTCCTGCAGGATCCAACAGTGCTTGCAGCCGGGAATTTTGTTATTCCCAGCTGCAAACCTTGGAGTCTGCACTTGGTGTCCGTGCTGCTGCTGAACACCCAAAGGAGGTCCAGTCCAGAAGGGTTGTCTGGTTCTTTACCCAGCAGTGATGGATGGCAGCGTTTAAGGGATCATTTCATGGCACAGGCTCAGCCTGACCCTTTTCTGTGCCCGTGGCTGGTGCTGAGAAAAGGCTGTAATGACTGGGCTGAGGAGAGCAGTGTCTCTGTGTATTCATTTGACTGCTCCATTTGAAAGAGAACATGGAAAGCTGCATTTAATTAAAGAAGCCTTTTATTAACTTGGCTTCAGATGAACTTAGATGAGACGGTGCTCCACAGAAATTCATTCCATGTATTAACCCACGAGCATTTGCACTGAAGGCAACCAGCTCAGATCTCGCAGTGGGAATTTTCGAGGCACCACAGAACAGGTTTCATGTCTCTGTGTTTCACCTGAGCAGTCAAATCAGCACTTGGTAATTCTCGATGGAAATGGAAGAAAACAGTCATAAATAGGCTTTGTAGCACTAAACCTTATATTTTTTCTGTTTCCTTATGAAGTCTGTCACGGCAGCTGTCACTGACAGCTGATTTCAGTGGAGTCATTCTGGTGACTCTGGTAATAATTTCCACTACCCTGAGGAACTCCACCTCCTATTTTATTGTAATTTTGCCCTATAATGCGTATTTTGTTTAATATGGAACTATTTGGTGAGTAAGCCAGAACTGCACATTTTGGAGTAATTTAGATGTGACACTTGTGATTAACAAAGCAGAGCATGAAGACATTTGCAATGCAAATTTGATACGTATTTATGTGAAGGTAATGGATTTAAATGATGTTGTATTCAGTCTAATGCAACTTTATGCAGATGTAAGTGCTTAAGAAGTAATTAAGTACAGTTTTCTATAACATTAATTAGAGGATCCTGAATGCTCCCACTATCAGTGGGCTCATCTAGGAATCAAATTGGAACAGGGTGTGCCATTTGCACTGGTAACTTTATTTTGAAAGAGTAGGAAGATAAAAGTGTTTTATTTGAGCATTTAACATCACTTTCAAAGAAAACCTGAGCATTTAATGTCTGACATTAGCACCTGATGACTACATATTGCCCCATTTCTCTCTTTTACCAGCAGATCAAAAGAGGAGCTCAGACAAAATCTCTTGAGTGGCCACATGGCAATTCCTGGGGATGTGATGGAGCATTGGAGGCTCTCAGGAATGCGTTTAAGCCTCTGTTAACATTATTTAACATTAACATTTCTGAGTTTGGTGCAGGAGCAGCTCTCTAATCTTCGGGAGGGGTAACGTGGGGATGCCTCCTCCTGCTGAGCAGGACTGACATTCCCACGCTGTGGATTCTGGCAGGGAAACGCCCAGTTAGAGGATTAGCAGATGTTTTATCTCTGAGTGCAAGGAAGGTGTTGGGCACTGAATGGGGCTAAGGGACACAGAGTTTTTCCTTTTCCTTTACCCGGTTCGGATGCTCTGAACTGACGTGGGAGCTGCAGCCTGGGAGAAGGAAAAGGAAGCTGTAAGACTTCCCTGCAGTTGAACTTTGAAATGGAACTGCTGCTGTGGATGAGTTTTGTGAGGGTAACAGAAAAGTCTGGCTGGAGGAGCTAGGACACATCCCTATGCCCAAAGCTGCACCTGCTCTGGAAAATCTCCAGCTCCTGCTGGCTTTTCTCCAGTAACCCCGAGTGCCCAAGGGGATTCCTGCAGCTGATTTGGATGGCTGAACTGTCCTTCCACGAGACAGGTGAGGATGCTCAGGAACAAGAGTAGTGCAGCAAAGACTTGGGGAAGGAGCCGCCTCTGTGCTTTGGGAGAGCCCTGGAGGCAGAGCTCGGTCACGGCGCTGGAGGGAGGGAGCAGGCTGGGAATCATCACAGCCTGGGAATCACTCTTCTCTGGCAAGGACAGAAACTCTCCTTGGCTCCACTCTGGCCTGTGGCTGGAATTTGCTGGGGAGTGGGCCAGGGGTGGCTAAAACATTGTCAGGCTGTGAGTGCTGCAGCTCTGCTCTCCTGGAGGAGGCCGGGGGAAGCTGCCCTGGTGCCCCAGGCAGAACTGGCAGAGCCTGCCCAGACTGCTTTGAGAGAGCTGATTAAATACCCTGGTTCCACCTCTGCTGTGATACCCTGCTGCTTTTATTTGCTTTAGTCTTGGTGACTGCGGGACAAAGTGGAAACAAACGTGCCTAGCTGAGACCTGGCTGTGTAGTCAAAATAAACACGTGGCCTTGCTGGGAAAATCCACAGCTGCTGGAGGTTTATGTCCTAATAGGGGCCAGAGGAGTCCTGCAACTTTATTGGAGTAAAGGCAGAGGGACCCAGCCCTCGGGGTTTTGGCTACTGATAGCTGAGTTCTCCCATCCTTCTCGTCCAGCTGAGAAGTCCAAATCTCCAGGGCCCCAGAGACCCTGCCCTGAGTGTGAGGGGCTGTGCCCAGCTGTCCTGGCTGCTGGCCCTGCACTCCTGGCTGGCTGGTACTGGCAGCAAAGCCAAATTCATTCCCAAATGAAGCCAGGTAGCCCCAAAGGAACTCAAGTAACCTCGGATCAATTAAAAAAGACTCAAATGACCTCAAGTAACCCTCAGCAGGACCGCAAATGAACCCTGTGAACTCAAGTAATCCCAATTGTGACCTCAAATGACCCTGTGACCTCAAGTAACCCTGATTGTGACCTCAAATGACCCCTGTGACCTCAAGCAACCCTGATCAGGGTTCTCAAATGACCTAAAGTAACCTCTGGAAAAACAAAAAAATTCTCAAATGACCTCAAGTAACCTCTGTAACCTCAAATGACCCCTGTGACCTCAAATAACCCTGAATGAGGCCTCAAATGACCCCTGTGACCTCAAGTAACCCCAATAGGGACCTCAAATGACCCCTGTGACCTCAAATAACCCCAATTGAGGCCTCAAATGACCCCTATGACCCCTATGACCTCAAGTAACCCCGACTGGGACCCCAAGGGACCCCTCGTCTGCCCAGTTCCCAGCTCCCCAATCATCTCACAGAGACAAGTTCAGACAAGTCTTATTTAGGTGTTTGCTTTAATTAAGGGGGAAAAAACTCCATACAAAAGGTGCCCTGTCCTTGCTGAGCTGTTGTGCAGCACGTTTTGAGGATGGTGAAGAGTGGCTGAGGCCATTGGGACCTGCTGTTCTCCAGCCCCCAGCAGTCCCACAGCACAGCTGAGAGACCAGGCAGCCATCCCCAAAGCCCCAGGTGTCCCTTTGAGGTTCTGAAATCCCCATTTCTGACAGGGCCCATGCAGGGCCTCTGGGCCGGTCCCGGTGGGGGTTTCTGCCACTCCTTCCCAGCTGGACTCACTCCAGCTGCTGGCATCCTCCTGCCCCCAGAACCTGAGTTTATTTGCAGTTCACATACCAGGCTGCTAAGGAGGAGGTGGGTTTTCCATCCCATGTTCCTGAAGGAAAAGCCATTGTGGATGGAGTGTATCCTCTCTCCCTGGCTGGCTGCTCCTGGTACCAGAGACTCTTGTTGGTTGAAAGGCTGGAAGAAGAAACCACTCTCCACTCTTCCCCCCAGGGGCTGGGGGTGGTTGCTGAGGGGGAGCCAGATGTGGCAGCCCAGATGAGGACAAGCAGACAGAACTGATAATAAACCAATAAAGCAATTTTCATCCCATTCCTTGGTCTCAATGGGAGCGTTACAGCAGGCAGCTCCACCTGTGCAGAAAAATACAGAGAGCAAGGTACAAGACCCGTGTAAGCACGGTGAGCATCGTGAATAGGTGGTTTTAGTCATACAGAATTGCAATTCTGACTTCTCTCACACTGGGAGCCAAAATATGTGCCAGCTTGAAAATAAAGCAGTGGGAGATTCCAAGTCAGAACTACAATTTAATAGGAAAATTAAAATAAATGCAGTAATACAGAAACACATTTAATAATATAAATTAAATATTATTTCATTAAATAATAGAAAATACTTTATTTATGTTATTTATATT